ATGTTTCATTTGTGTATCAGTTTAACCACAATTTGCTACTAATAAGATAAATTCAGTGATCAAAATTCATGTTTATTTTTTATTCCCTTAGTGACTCAATGTATTACAAGAAAGAACTACGACTTGTTTGGGCCAACAGTTGGAGTGGTGATAATAATTAACTTAACCATTGCCAGTGGAAGAATCAAATGTAGATATATTGGCTTTGGATGTCCATGATTTCAACAAAAATGAATAAGTCCTTCTAAAGTAAATGGAAGTGATAATATTATTATCTTTTTGGCCATCCAGCGAATTTAATGTTTTAAGTTGACCGATTTTTTCCAGTTAAGTTAGGTTACGTTAGATAAGTTAAGTTGGGTTAGGTTAGGTTTGGTGACATTGAAATTATGTTTTTTCAAATACTTTGTAGCATAAATTTCACACTTTAATAAGTCCAAATATGCCGGGTAACCAATGCCAGGTGAATCCAAACTGGTCCATCAGTGATATGGTCGGTCCGACTAATTACCCAAATGTACCCAAATGTAGCCGCAATGAAGTCAAATAATGGTCCTACATGAATAAATCGGACTGCTAATCACTTCTCGACTTGTATTTGGTGTCACAAAGTCACAAAAAATTGGAAAACTTACTTTAATCTGAGTTAATGGATCGCGTGCATAGGGTTGATATCCCTTATCCGAAATCCTTGGGATCAGAGGCATTTCGGATTTCGGAATTTTTCGGTTTTCAGAATGGTTAGTTGTTTTTTTTGTTCTTGTGTGTGTATTAGCCCATCTGGGCACAAGTCACTGACCCTCATTGGGGCCTGGGGGGTGAAAATATAATAATAATTATAATATTAATTATAATAATAATATAGGTAATGATAATAATAATTCATAGGTGTAGGTGGTGTTACTCACTTTTTATCTTTTTTTCATTCTTGTATTTCTTTTATTATTATTATTATTATATATTATTATTATTATTATTATTATTATTTTATTAATACAGTATTATTGTTATCATTATTATTTCATTTTCGTGTATTTTTAATTAAAATTTTTATTTACTATGAATAATTATTATTATTATTATAATTATTATTATTATTATTATTATAATTAGTATTACTATTACATTTTCGCCCCCCAGGCCCCGATGTGGGTCAGTGATTTATGCCTGGGTGGGCTAATCACTGTAAAAAAGAAAAAAAAATTTTGCTACACAAAAAACTTTCGGTTTTCAGAGCTTTTCGGTTTTCGGAATTTCGGATAAAGGGAGCGAGTAATTACCCAAATGTACCCGCAATGCAGTCAAATGATGGTCATACAAGCATAAATCGGGCTGTGAATCACTTCTCGATTATTATTTGGTGTCATAAAGTCGCTGGACATCATTTATCAGAATTAATATCGACCC